CAGGAATGCACATGTGACATCTTGCGGTGTTAGAAATAAAATAAGGGAAGTTGCTGAGAAAGAAAATTGTTTTTAAGTATTTAGGGCTGCTATTACACAGTATGTATCTAAGAACAAAACAGGACTAAGTGTATCCTTTTGACATGTGTTATGAACAGTTGAATCGTATTTGTGTAGATTTAATCAGGAGCTTATCTTCTGTTTAACCTCACATGAGAAGATTCTGTAGTGTTGAAAAACAGAAGCAGAGCCTGAATTATTCCTATGTATTTTTAGGCATTTAGCTGAAATATGTAAGTGCCTTGTCAGTGGAGAGCGTTAAAAAACTTTGAGTACAGTCTGGCTCTTAGGTGGTGTGCTTTGTGCTCTGGAGAGACTGAAGGGTTTTGTGGAGTACAGACACAATCTGGGGTGGTTCAGTTCTTAACTGAGCCATTTCATTCAAGTCCTCATTAGAAGGCCACCATGAGATGGAATAAATGTCCATAACCTACAGGAATACTAAATTTTTTAAAAGGTTTAAATTAAGGAAAGCCAACTATAAAAAAAAGAAAATATACAGTAGTCTCTTTTACTGAGTATTGCAAAATTAGGGGATGACAGCTGATTTTATCTGCCAAGCGAGGGAGCTAATTTATTAGGATCCTTTCATTTCTCAAATTGAAGTTTGCAAGTGGAATACTTCATCTGAAATGGTTTAATCTTCTACAAATTCTCCTCTGTAGTTCACTACAGATTGTGATCTTCTTAATCTAAAATATTGAAAAATGTCACCATACAAGTATTACAAAAATTAGCTGTGCATGCAAAGATTGCTTCTTTTGTATTCTCATGAATTGCAGGTATATCAAGGCTGTGTATCAGGCTTTGCAAAAAGGTCCCTCTTTGTTTTTTATAGGTTGCCATCACCAAAACCACCACCCATGAATGTCCTACCTGAAGTAGTCACTGAAGCTTTTGGAGTAGCATTGGTTGGTTATGTAGCATCACTAGCTCTTGCCCAAGGCTCTGCTAAAAAGTTCAAATACACTGTGGATGACAACCAGGTAAAGCTCTTTCTCCTCACTGTCACTAAGCCTTGAAATTGCTTCACCATTTTGGAAATGTACTACAGATTAATTGTTTCAGGGAGTGCTGCCAAATTTACAGCCATAGCAGTTTTCTGTGCAGAGTTCCACTGTACAGTGGACATGGTTAAATAAAAGCAGAATGTTACTTTCTGCACTACCTGACTGCTCATCATGGCATGTGAGTAACTCCAAGCCAGCTGGAAATCTGTAGAAACAATATTTCAAGCACCGTGGTAAGAAGTGTTTGATTTTAGATAACAGGCAACAGTGCTGTGTGACAAAAATGCTGCCTTCACCTTAAGTGATTTGGGATAAATGGCATAAGGTTGAAAGAAGAACAGTTGGTTTTGCAACGGGAGGTCTGTTTGAACACCCTATCTAGACAGGTTAGTCTTGCTACGTTAGTTCATGTCCTTAAGTCACAGGAAAATATGGTGGGGATGTTCTAGTCTACTTAGGTCTCTAAAATATTTTTCAGAATGAATACATTGGGCCATCAATTTCTGTTGATGCTTCAGAGCCGTGTTTTCTAGGGAACAGGGGAAAATGTTTTGAGCTTAATACAGGTCAGACTTCAGGTCAGTATGCTGCATTGTCTAAAAGTCACTAAATGGGACACAGCAGATTCTCCACTTCTTCTTCTGTATATCTTTGTTCAGACATGTCTGCATTTTGACTGTGAGTAAACACCAAATACATATGTAATGAGAGACAGCATGCAGATAGTATTGCTACCATACTTCACTTTTGCTAAAGCATGCTCTAAAAGAAAAAAAAAAAAAAAAAAAAAAAAATTGGTGGCTGTCTTTTTCGAGTAGAGTCATAAGCCAGAAACAACCTGGACACTTTCCAGATCCCACTTCTTGAAACTCTGGCTTGTTAAAAAGCAGATGTGGATCAAGATGTAAATATTTTGGCTGAACTTCATCTTCAAAACTTAGCAATACCATTTATTCTGTGAACAAAACGTGCCTCCTGCCTTTGATGAATCTAGTTCAGCAGCTCTATCATTCAAATTAGTCCTGAGTTGCGAGATGTAGCGTGTTGAGAGTTCTGTCATGTGTGTATGTGAGGTTTCTTCCCTCAAAAAGATGGCCATACTTTGTTATTGCTGATGTTTACATAGAGGACTCCTTTGTCAACAAGAGACATTGAAATGACAGGATAGGGAAAAAAAAAACCACCTTTCCTATTTAACAACTTTGCAGGAATTTTTGGCTCATGGGCTCAGCAATGTGATTCCCTCGTTTTTCTCCTGCATCCCGAGCGCGGCGGCGATGGGACGGACGACACTCCTGTACAGCATGGGCGCCAGAACTCAGGTGACATGCTACACTGAGGGGCCAGCACAGCCCAGCCGGGGACACTGATTCATCCGTTGCTTTTCCACCCTCCTGGGATATGACCCTGTCCCGACATTTTTAACAAGCTGTGTGGAATTGCACCTGATCAGCAACCGTCTTACTGGGGAAATGAACGGCTCCACTTATTTTTACCTGCTTAATTCAATATAAACTGTAAAGTCTGTGACAGTAAGGAGGTTAGGGGTTGTGTTTTCAGGCTTCGGGAAGCTACACGCGAGCCCTTTCAGTTGTATGAGAATTTGTCAGCAATGTAACAAAAGTGCCCTCTAATGGTGTGAAATAGAATTAATGGTACCGGCTAAACTGGAGTTTTAGAAAAAAATCAGATTTAATGTAATGCTTCTATCTGATTTTCAAAATAAAGTGAAAGTAAACTCGAGACCTGCTTGTTAAAAGAAAAAAAAAAAGTAATCTCCCCAGCTGCTGCCTTGTGACATGGTGTACTTCTCCTGTCCTGCAGTATACACTGTGCCCACAGAGACAACACAGACTTTTTGGTATCTCCTACTCTTGGAAACTAAACCTACAAGTTCTTATTGCAGTAGCTCGGAAAAGAGGGAACTGCAATGGATGAAAATGATAATTGTGACCCTTTGAGGCTGTCATCTGTCCGAACTGTGCTCATGAATAAGAGAGGCAGCAAACGTCTGTGACCTTTGGGTGTGGTGGCACCACATGGGCCACCGCAGACAGGACACCCCTGGGGCAGGACACTAAGGACTGCCTCTGCCTCCCTCCTCTGAAACTCAAGCGTCCATCAGTAGCATTCTGCCATATAAATGTTATGCCCATTAGAGTTTATTGCTATTGTCTCTTTATAACTGTTGCTCTTGCCTGTGTAAAGGACATTAATTTCAAGGCAATGGGTAACAAGGTAAAACTGGCAAGGCCAAGTACAGTCTAGAGGTACTGTTTATTGTCCTGCAATTATTTCTCATGCAGATACCACAATACTAAGAAATAATTTAGGGCTTTATTTCAAAACTTACATGTTAATTATTTGCTGATTAGTCTACACAGTACTCTGAACTCAATCATAATGAATAATTTATCCAATAATAATCTTTAAAAGCATTTAGATGCAAATTGTTTAGTACCACATTGCTATTATCTATTTCATATCTTTGAGTTGGATTCAATGTTTTACCATGTATCCTCAGCCTCCCAGACATCCTCTTCTGTTACCTGTTCATATACTGATTATACAGTTTGTAGTTGCACTGTGTCACGGTTTTTCCAACAAAGTTTTAAGGTAACCGGAAGACCTATAACCTGAAGGTAAAAAGAGTATCTGAGCATCTTGGCTCTTGCATATGTAGGCAAAGGCCCTGACAGAAGGTTATTCAAGATATGAAATGGAAAAAGAAACCACCATAGTTTTGCTTCCAGGTAGGAAGTTCAAGGTAAAAATAACAAGTATCTGCTTGGGTTTATCTATTGCCTTCACAACAAAGGGCAACAAAGCTGGTGAAGGGTCTGGGGAACATGTCTTATGAGGAGTGGCTGGGGGAAGTGGGATTGTTTAGCCTGGAGAAGAGGGGGCTGAGGAGTGACCTTTTTGCTGTCTACAGTTACCTGAAAGGAGGTTGTAGTGAGGCTGGTGTTGGTCTCTTCTCCCACATTACTAGAAATAGAACAAGAGGAAATGGACTCAAGTTGCACCAGGGGAGGTTTCAATTGGATATTAGGAAGAATTTCTTTACTGAAAGAGTGGTGAGGCATTGGAACAGGATGCCCAGGGAGGCAGTGGAGTCACCATCCCTGCAGGTGTTCAAAAAATGTGTAGATGTGGCACTTGGGAACATGGTTTAATGGTCATGGTAGTGTTGAATGATGATTTGACTTGATGATCTTAGGGGTCTTCTCCAACCTTAATGACTCTATGATTCACAGTATAGCAGAGCCTGCATCCAAAAGTTAAAGTGTGGCCACACATTAGCACAATAAGAGTACTTTAATAAACAAAATTCTCTCTTCTGCCTTCCTTTTGGAAAGAAATACAACCACATAATCCTCCCCTTTTGGGCCTGTCTAAGTAGAAGGAAAAGATGAGATGAACATCACTAATAAATGACAGATCAAAAAATAAACTGAGGGGTAGTTTTGACAGCACGGAGACAAGTCAGTTTCCTTTGCCATACCTTATGCAAGAAATGCAAGGAGCCTTTCAGGGGCTCAGAGCAGCCCTTTTTTCTCCAGTGGCTATACCTGGGATTCAGTGAGGGCTGTATCCTTCAAATAGAATCAACACTTTTTTTTTTTTTTTTTTTTTTTTTTTTTTTTTTTTTTTGGGAAGGCAGAAAGAGGGAAAAGTTCCTTGTGACTTTACCAGCAGATTTTGAGTCGCTTTTTCTGTAAACACTCTGTCTATCCTTCTTGATGGTATTTTTAAGTACACCATGGCTTTAATTTTCTAGTGTTTTAACAACTTGCCTGGTTTTGTTTTTAACAACTTGTCTCTTAAAATGAAACCTAATTATTTTAGTAAAGAAACATATTATCAATATAAAAATAAAGTGAGCATCTGTCTACTTATCATCAAAAACCTTCTGTGAATTTGGACTGTATCTTAATGAGAGCAGAAGTACTCTACTTTGTGAGCAGTCAGGGTGGAGTAGGAGACTGTAGTTGTACTGTAGTTTTCCATCACATTGATACCATGTAATACTGTAAAGAAACATATAATTCTTAGACCATATATTTTTCTGGATTCATGTCACCTGTATTAATTAGAATATTATATATATATATATATGTATATAAGAAATTGTTCATACCTTTTCTAAAGTAAAACCCACTAATATTAACATGAAATCATTGGTACTTTCTGACTTAACACGGTAAATTTCCCTTTAGTGTTGATCCCAGTAAAAGAAATTAGAAATCTTTTCTTGTGGAAAGACGATGACCCAGTTCTCCATACATAATTTTTGCGTGGTGCTGTGACAGGTCTGTTGTTTTGTGCAACAGGGAGTGCATGGCTATAAATATGTTAGAGAATGACAGTGGGTGCTGTGGAACTCCTGAGCTGAGCTGTTGCACACACGTGTTCTGTTTAACAGCCAGGTGTGTAAGCGGTGCTGTGGTCTGTGGCTGTGTGCTCTCTGCAGGGTCATGCGCAGATCTTGAGGTCCCTCACTAGGTTTTCACTGTAGCTGGCTGGAGGTGATCACCAGAGATTAAAATTGGAATGATATCCATCTGCGATCCACAGACACATTAACAGCTAACATCTTCAACATCTCATTTTTGACTTTGTCTACAATATTTGATAGTCTTTTTCACACAATGTAATGTGGTTTTTTTTGTGTTTTCTTTTTTACTTTTCTTAGACTGAGTGATCTGCTTTTTTTGTTTATTGTTCCAGGTGGCTTGCCTTGTCTCTTGTGTATTAATTCTTGTGGTGATCTATGCCTTTGGACCTATGCTGTACTGGCTGCCCATGGTACAATATTTATCTTCTTTCTTAACATTTTCTAATGACTTAACTTCTTTCAGGGATAGTACTACCTCTAAACAAGCTCTATCTAATTTCAGTGGGAGAAAGAACAGTAAGGGCACAGCAAGTCTCCAAATTAAAAATACAGAGGTGACAACACAATTCATACAGATTTTACACACATACAGTTGTGTGTATAGGCCATCACATAGGTAGAGAAGAAAGCATTTCTCTTCTGCTTACTTTTGGCACGTCGTTTATATACGTCCAGATTGTTGTGGATTTGTAAATTGACAGTGTGGTAGAAATTAACGAATATCCATAATTTTTCTTCAGTTATGCATATGATGTATGACTACTTTTCAAATAAACTTGAGATGAGTGATTGTAGATAGTGATCTAAGCTTAATTACAGAAAGTTTATGAGGTATTCTTATATCTCTGTCAGGGAATACATCTTCTGCACTAAGACTCTGTGAAGCAATGTGGTGTGTTTTCATATAAAGTTTATCTAGCTTCTGGTATTATAAACGAATAGTTAATTTTAGCTATTAGCTTCAAATTAATCATAATTCTACCATATTTTTCCACAAAATTTTTAAACAACTGTGTTTTAAAGTTACTTTGTGCTACTGTTTACAGAGTATCACAGATACTTACCCATCACATGCAGATCCTTTTATAGGTTATTTTCAACATTCAAAGTAAGGACGCCTGAAGAAGGGTGCACAGTATATCCTTTATCTTACTATACTTGTTTCCCCCCTTCTTTTTTTATATGGATTATATGCAAATTCTGACTTTTTTTCCCCCCCTATAATTTAAAAAACAACTTTTCATTTGTTGCTTTCTTGCTATTTTACTTCTTTCCTACTATGCTTTTTCACCTGTGCCCACCTATGCACTACAAGTCCTTTGCTTTGTACTCCATCCTTTTTCGCTCCAGATGGTTTCTTCATCCATCTCCTCCCTACTTCTGATTTGGAGAACAATAAATTTTTTTTTTCTTTGCCACTCTGGAAGCCCTGCTTAGGTGGTGAAAAAGGGGAATTAAAATACTTCACTCTGTAGATCTTAAGTGCTGATTTACTTTTGAGTCCCCCAGACTGTGGCAGATTCTATTTGGCCTGGTGACGCATGAAGAGTCTCAGGAAGTCCTGAAGTTTCTGTCATTTTTCTCACAACTATGTGGCCTATAGATGCCCTTCAGGAACAAAGAAATGGGTTTGGTACTATTGCATTTGTGTCACAAGGACAACTGTGCTTATCTCATTTTTGAAACACTGACTTCATTTTTTTTATGATTATAATATTAACTGCTAATTTGAAGAAGGAGCATTTGTTTTCACTACCAATTCTGAAATTTTTTTTTCATTTTTTTTCAGTGTGTACTAGCAAGCATTATTGTTGTGGGCTTGAAGGGAATGTTAATGCAGTTCCGTGACTTAAAAAAATATTGGAATGTGGATAAAATAGAATGGGTAAGTGAAACTTTATCTAAAGGGGTTTTCCTGAGACTCTTCAAATGAGATTTTTCATTAAATGGAATTTTAGCAAATTATGAAGAATCAAACCTAATTTAATGCTAAAGATGTGTGTACAGACAGCAGGTTAATCTGAGCAGATGTGACTAATTTTGTATGCCTTCTGTAGCTGGTTAGCGTGCTTTTGCTACTGTCATATTGAAGAGATTCTGATATCTATGTCCTCTGAGAATATGGAACAACTGTGCAAGACAAACAGAACTGGAAACACTAGAGATGCAGACAGATAGACATCCTAAGATGCTGTAGCTAAATGGCCTTAACTATTTCAGATTTTGCAAATGGAACACTGTTTGATCATGATGAAAGATTTTGCAGTATAAGAGGAAGAATACATCACAAGAGGCAGGTAGATGGAAAAAGATGTAGAATAAACAACACCGTTTGGCTATGTGAGATTTTTCACATTTCATCACAGAAAAGTAGAGGGTTTTTTTTTTGTTGTTTGGTTGGGTTTTTTTCTCATCCAGAATAAAAGCTGTGTTTTCATGAAATCTTGTGTTCCCCAAGCAGCAAAATTCTGAAAATATTTTCTATCAATTTTACTGTATTTGGTCTTCAGTTTAACCCCTATTGCTGGTGACACAAATGGTGGATGGTGAAGATCAAGAATTATTTTGGTGACTGTGGTCTTAAGACAATTGGTAGTTATGGGAGAGAGATGTAGCTTTGCTATCAATGCAATGAGATAATAAGTAGTTAAGTTTCCCAACAGCATATTCTGGAATTTCACTACACTTGATGCACCTTCTCAGATAGCCTAGACAGATTGACTTTTGCTTTTGTGGTTTTGGCAGAAAAGGATGGGTGAGCAGTTACTTATTACATCTCTGACGTGTCATTTTTTCTAAGAGAGTTTATAGAGAGGGGATGTTTGCTGGGCTTATCTTTTTGATGGAACATACTTGAAGAGTGATTTATCTTCAAGCAGTTGTACCATCAGTCCTTAGCCTGACAAGGTAAATCTTCTTGCTTTAAACAGCATAATCTAAAGCAAGGCTACAAACATTGATCTTACATTGCTGCCTGGTCTGAGAAGCTCCACCAAGCTCAGTGATTTGAGTAACTACGCTGCTGTTGGTTTTGGCCTGAAAAGATTCACTCCAGCAACTGACAGCACATGGGAAATGAATGAGTTCCATTACCCAGGTTATCCAAAGTGTGGTTTGAAGTTAGAAACTCTAACAAAACATTTGGAAATAGTTAGCAGATGTCCTTTCTGGAACTGATTCTTTGAAGGGTGTGTGTCATATAGCATAGAAGTCAGGTTTGTTATGCTTACAGGTCTGGCAAATGATAGTGCATAGAAACAGGCTGTTACAGGGATCGTTATTTTTTTGCTTCACAGTTTGTTAAGGTTCTCATTGAATACAAACGGGACAAATAATATTTATCTGTTGGTTAGTTCTTTATAAAATGTAATAATTTAATCCATAAATATAAAAGGAACAGCTTGAAAAGTACAGTTTAGGAGCTGGACTCAATGATCCTCACAGGTCCCTTCCATCTCAGGATATTCTGTGATTTTCTGGAATGTCTCCTTTCATCCATGGATTGCTTTTTCTTGCAGAGTTAATGTTTAGGAGCAGCTGAGTTCAAAGGAGTAGCTAGGTGGATAGACTTAAGTAGCTAATACCAAATATTATAATCTGAATATTATTGCATATATTTGTTTCATTATTCTTTCAACTTTTTATCAACTCTCACAAATGTCCTGGTTTTATGTCCTGCCTCTCAAACACTATTCAATTTTTTTCTACCTAGAACCCCACTGCCCTTACTCCAAAGAGCCCTTTCCTGCCATTCACAGCAGTCATACAAACTTCAGATGTCTCTTGCTTCAGTTAAGGTCTTCTGTCCCTACACTTTCTTGGATGTTTTCAACAATTTCCAATCAAAAATTGTTCTATTTCATGATATATGTTATATACACAACTGTATGCATAAAAGTATTTGTCCCCCCTCTGCTCTCTTCATATTTTGGCTGTTTCCAGTGTGTTGATTCCTGTATTATCTATGTTTTGTACATTAATCTGAGAATGATTTGTCTTGAATTTTTGCCTCTTTTTGGGGAACTACCAAGAAGTTGATCTAGGATTTGTCTATAAGGGTATCTCACTTTTCATGTCTTCAGGTCAAACGTTGATTTCCATATCCCCTCTGCAAGCCTAATTTCTTATGCAGAACTACTTCTTGACTAACTTCCCTTCTTTCTTCTCCAGCTGACAGTGCACTTTACTCATATCAGCAGAAAAGTCACGGCTTCAAATACTTTCTATGTGCTGGATTCAACATAAATTCGTATCTTCTCCTTGTTTCTTCCCTCTTAAGATTTTTTTTTTTTTTTTTAATTAATACAGTACAAGCATACTTTGAAGGTAGATTCTATTCTGACTGTTGAGAATGACATGTGCCTAGAACACATTATTGCTAAGACTTGAAGAATTATTAGATTCTATCTGTCCTGGAGTTTATAATGACCATCTTGTAGGAAGTTGCCAAAGAAAGCTTTGATATTTTTATGACTTCTTTTTTGAACCTTTTGACAACCTATGAATTTAAAAAATGTCCATCAGATCAACATAGCTTCTTTCTACAAGAAAGTACCCAAAAAAGTGCTGGCTCAAGGCCAGTACAAAGCACTGGAAGAGTGGTCAACAGATGAGAATATGACTATTTTGGCTCATCCCCTAAAACAATGGCAGTCTTGGGTTACAGTTAAGATGTAAGATATTAGGCTGCTTAAAGAGGCAGTCAACTAACTTTCTCAGTACTCAGCAGTACTTAGACATTTTTGGCTTTGATTCTTCCTATGTAGACTTTGCAACATTTTTTCTTGCTTTCTGTTTTCATCTGAGATAGAAGAATTTTGCAGGTCTTGCAGCAGTGATTTAGTTAGATGTGATGAGGCTCAGGTCTGCAGCTGAAGTGGATTGTTTGTTCCCAGGTGTTTTTCAGCCTTATCAGGATGGGGTAATTCTTGATCCCCCTTGAATCTCAGGTTTGTAGTACTTCCATCAGTCCTTTCATGTCCAGTGAACTCCTTTATAAATATATATTTGGTTTGTAAATCTTAGAATTACTTTCTCAGTGATGAATCAGAACTCAACATTTGATGTTCATAGAGGTATTCTTTGCAAATATGTACAGAACAACTTGTATAGGATGCCATTTTAAAATGTAACTAGAGATTGAGCACTGTTTCAAAGACTAAACTACCTTTTTACCAAGCAACTGTGTTATTGAAGAGACTGCAAAAAACTTTCTCAGTAGTTTAGAATTCTGAAGATGAGGGAGGAAAAGTTTTCTCTGTAGAGCCATGTAACCCACTGTCTTCTGTGAAACACAAATTGGTACAGTATGACTTATGTTTTATAATTCATAAAATAACAGTTCTGAATCTGCTTGAGCAAAATTCCTGTGGTTAGGCTGAAAGTATTCTATTATCCCTGGCTTTCCTGAGCTAAGTGAAAGCATCAGAAAGGATAATTTTAACATTGATTATGCCATTGTAATGTGATCTGTTCCTCTGCAAACATTAACAAGAAGCACTGTAATTGCTGAAAGGGGTACCTGCGGAGACCTGTATATCCAGAGGAACGAAAATACTTTCTATTCTTTAACATTTTTTATTTAAAGATTAGGTGGCAGTCTTTGCTTAAGGCTCCCTTGAGGAAAGAATTACGTGCTGATGTTAGGTTGGTCTAAAAGATCAAGTAATTTGTAGTTTTCTCCTTTTAATTCTAAAATCTGGATATTTGTCAGCCGTACACATCATTCTAGTATGAAAATTTAAATGATCATTTCTGATTAGAAAATAATTGAGAAAAAAATTTAAAAATAATTGTTCTTTAATGTTTTAAACTCCTTTTCAAAGTGGCTTTTGTTTCAGATATACTTCTTTGCATTTTTAAAATTGTATTTAAAGTGAATCTAAAGTTTTATGAATGGCATATTTAAAGATAGGGAAGTTATCTGAAATCTCACCATTTTGATGTGAAAAAATTAATTCTCCAATAATTTTTATTGGTTTTAGAGTTGGTTTAGTCAGCTAAACTCTGACAAATGTCACTTTTACTTAACCTCTTTGCAGATTATAATTCCCACTTATACAACTGGTGGGAGAAGAGATCACTGTATGTGACCTTTAGGGTACCCAATTGTGTAAAAGGAAAGGAGGATTTCAAATGCGTGCAGTGAAGACGGTGACAAAAACTTGCAATGTGAAAAATAAAGTACAAGACAACTGAGTTCATTCTCAGTCATGCTGTCAGTGCTCTTACTTGTGCTATTTAAGTAACTCTGAAAGGAACCTCTGTGAGCATTAGGATGAGTAGTCCCATATCATATGTGTTTTCCCATGGGGAGGCATAATTTTGGTTGCTAATTAAGCCTTCAATATTTGCCAGTTCAGAGATCCAAATGTTCACTTCTGAGAAACTATCTTAATTTTAAGAATCTGTATTTGTGATTCATAAAATGCACATTATGACAAAGATTAATGAACCTCTTTCTGTTTCCCTCCTTAAAGAGCATATGGGTTAGTACCTACGTGTTTACAATATGCTTTGCTGCTAACGTGGGACTGTTGTACGGTGTTGTCTGCACTGTAGTAATCATGATTTTCCGCTTTCCCAGGTGAGAAATATTTTATTGAAATGTTCTAGTAACACATCGTGTTATCTTCTTGGCATATTGCTTCACAGTTAGGATAGACATACAGTATACTAAATTTAGCAATGCAACTTCAGGTTTAGTTGTTGGGTTTTTTTTTTTTTTTTTCAGAAAAGTACAAGATAAAGCAATAAAAAAAGGAAAAGTCACACCTATGCATTTACTGTAGGCTAAGAATCTGTAAAATGTTTCATACTATGGCATTATTTTGTGATTTCTTTTAGTATTACTCATCTACATGATTCATTAGTTGCAGGTAGCACAGGATCAACAGAAAGATCGATAATTTTATTTTTTCACCGTTAGATATTTATTTGCTCCTTCAGGATAAAGTATACCTGGCAAGCCTTAGTAACTAAGCACCTTTATAAAACCCCAGAAATTATGTTGCACAGGAGTTGATCGCTGACATTTGCACTTCTAATATATATTAATGAAACATAACTGCACAACTATTCTAAGGCCTAATGAAAAATATACATTCTCTATATGAATTAGAAAAGCCAAGAGAAAGAAACTAGACCTAACACAAATTCATGTATTCTTTTACATATATTACAGCTGCTATTTTGGATTATGAGTAAAGAAAAATATCAGCCAAAGATCATGATCTTTTGTGCTACAAAATTAATAGTTAGCTCACCATTCCTGGAAATGACTTGCTGCTTGCAGGCAGTTGCTTGCATGAACATTGTATCCCACCGAAATTAAGCACAATAAAGACTGCTGAATTTAACCCCAAAATAGCTCAAAATTGCAAGACAATTGCAAATTGTGGAAGATGGTTTTTGCTTGCATCGGTCAGTACCTTTTTGGTACCTTCTGCCACTCAACGAACTAAAATTTTGTTAAATTTTGCTAGTGAAGGAAAAGGCAAGTTCTCATGTTCTTTACACCCTATGCCTGGATGTTTGAGGTTGTCCAACAGCAGAAAGGGAGGGTTGTCCAACACAGACGAGTATCATCCTCTGTTCTCTGATCTAACAGAGAGCTCAATTGATTTCTGGAGTCTTCAGCCACCTTGCATGTGATTGTCCATGCAGGCTGAAGGCATGGAGCAACCTAAGAGCCGTAAAACCTGCACTGTGCAGATGAGGTTGGCAAAAGACCACCTAGTAAGTCCTCCAGTCGTGGGTGAAAGTGTCAGCAAAAGTGGAGTAATAAAAATACTGTAGATGATTTCTTGCGAAGTTTCTGTTCAGATGCCAGAGTATTGGGCATGATGCAAATGGTGTATCAGAAGGCAGCAGCTACAGCTCAATTTATGCAAGCAGGAGAGAACAGTTGACTTCTGCAAGCCTCACTTAGCCAACCCCAGAGCCTGCAAATACTCTTGCACATTGATGCATCTGTTAAATGTTTATATTTCAGGATTATTTCCACTGCCCAGCTTGAGACACAGAGCTCAGATGATAGCTTCACAGTCTTGTTCTGCAGTCAAATGTGTTGCTACAAATGATGAATTAAAGCAGAGGGTCCTACACTAACCTGCCTTTTCAAGGCAACTTTCTAATTTCTCTGACTGTGTGGAAAGCATAGGGATACTGGCTTTTCCAGTTAAGTCCCCCACTTTGATAGTTTACAGTGCAGTGTTATGATTCATCATACAAAGCTGTGTCAATTTTAATAAACAAAACATCCTTAGTTTCCATGACCCATAGCTATTAAATATCTTTTTTTCCCCCTTTCCTTAAAGTATCATTGTGCAAGTGCTAAAATACTAATAAAACCTGTGTTTCAAATTTGTAGATTATATATTAGCTACCTTTAAATGAGAATAGCTCTCTGGCCAGCAACAAAACAGTGATGAATCTTAAAATTAAGATTTTTTTAACCAAAACTTCCCATTGTTATACTTTTAAAATGTGCCTTTTAATCTTTAGCTGGTTCATTATCACAAAAAAATATTCTCTATATGCATGCAAATCTGTACAGATTGAATTGTTGCAACTTTAAACTTCTACACTGTAGTTTTGGGATGTATCTCTTCCTCTTTCTGTTAAAGACTGCTAATTATTCGCCTTACAGGTTTTCTCTGTGTATTGATTACAGAGCAAAGACACTGAATTTGAAAAACGTGGAAGAAGTGGAATATAAATACAAAACGGAAGATAATTGTGTAAGTTGAATCCTATTTGTGTGTGTTTTCCCTTAATTCAGATTATTTTCTCTAGTTGATTACTAGTTTGTAATCAGGGAATCAAGGGATCATTTTTATGATATGAACACTTGAGATCTAAGGCCAGTTTGATGCAGTAAACACAAACCTAGTCTGGGCATCAAGAATTAGAATATTTTCCTGGTACTGCTGCTGGTTTACAAAATGAATTTAGGCAAGTCCTATGAGATCTGTCTGTGTTAGTTTATTTTTTACTTTTAAATTAGGAATTGCTCTTTGTAAAAGTTTCCTAATTCCTGAGTCTAAGGAAATCTCTTGGCAGCAAGAGCAAGGGCCATCTGAGGAGACAGTAGTTGTCTCTATTTTCTTATCAGATTTCCTCATTTCCTGAAAGTCCTCTGATATTCTCACATGACCTCTTTTCTGCCACCAACCCCTTTTGCTCAAACTGTCCCAGAGGACACCGTGTGTGGCTGGGGAAGGAAGGACAGTAGCCTAAAGTTGTCACAGACTGCTTCACACATCCCACCACTCTGTACTCAAACAAGGGAACCCTCATGTGAAAAATGAATGGAAGAATCTCTCCAAGAGACTGTGCTTCTGAAATTTGGCTTCTTACGGACTTAAACCCACCAGTCAGGGATTTAAAATTCTTTCAGTTATTTTCATTGCAATTATCACATTGCAATTATCATCAAAGTTGGTTGTGGTCAGGCCTATGGTAAGAAGGGTAATGACCCAGAGGGGTGAACTCCCTCCTCTGAGATGAAATGGTATGTCAGCAGCCAAGAGAGAAGAAGAACCACGTGTCTTTTTGGCACAGGGTCCCATCAGTAGGATATCCTGCCTTCTCTACCATGGCAGTTTCTACTATGTCCTCTTTCTTTTCCTATTGCTTACGAAGGTCTTATGTACTAGAAAGCAACATGCTCAGCAGTTATTACCTCACCATTAAGAAGCTTTCCTCTCAAGAACTTATTTTTTTTCTGGCAAACGTTTTCCATCAGTGCTAACTTGGGCTCAAAATCTGAACTTGGTTGAGGGGCATTTACTGTTTTGGCATGCTGAACAGTGCTGGAATGTGAAAGGTGCATGAGAATAGGGAGGACTCGGATATGTGAATTAAAAATACTGTTGTTGAGGCTGGCCCAGCTGTCAATTATTATATCATTTTTCATCCTTAAGAAAAATATTTGGGTAACTTTGTCAGGGATGAACAACCAAAATTTGATTTGTCTTTTTTTTCCCCCCCCCTATATCAATTCATAAAATATTTTTGTACAAATCCCTATGCTTCTTTTTTTCTTTAAGCTAACTACTCCCCTGTTTTTTTTCCTTAATCATCAAGATTAATGCCAGCAACCAAGTAATAGGAAAATAATGTTTATATACAGTGGGGAAAATAACATTTTGTTAAGAAAGATAATTGCTCAAGAGCTCATTACACAAAACAAAGAAGGAAAATATTTTTAAGATTTAAGAAAAATGCCTTTAGTTGAATTTAAAGTCACTGGCTTGCAGCAGGCATTTTGGGTAATTTTTAATGTATGAACATTAGAGTGATCCAGGTTCCTCTGGTAAATAACAGCTCAGACAGAAATAACAGGACTTTTAAACATGGAAATATGTAAGCTTAATGATCTACCCTGCCATTGAGGTCTGTGGGTTTATAGGATTTATTTCATCATTGGAAGAAAAGACACTTTAATGTGGAAAAACTGAAGGGGGTATTTAGAAGCTTATGTGAAACACATTGCATCACAGGCACTCACGGAACTGAACTATTACTCAAGCACAGACAGTGCTGAGCAAAAGTGCATGGGGCAACTGCTGATACCCTGCTAAGTGACAGTGGGGATAGGCCATCTGAGAAAATTTTCTTTCTTTTTTAGCAAGGATGTGACAAAGAGGAAGTCCATTTTTCTCAGAATAGTTCTTCTTAAGAAAGAAGCCAGAACCAAACCAGAGCCAGATATAACAGAGCCCCATTTGGCACAGTTATCCTTGCCCATCCTGGACAAAAGATTACACATCAGTCTGCCATCTGCTTGGTTTCGGACTTATGATTTGGGCTTTTCAAGTTTTCCACCTTGTATTTTTAGAAGCTTATTAGCTTCTCTATCATCACAGGCTTTTATCTTTGTATGAGTTTTCCTTTTTCTTAGTTCTCATCTTCCAGTTAGCCAGTTCTGGTATGGGACCAAACAGCCCACTTGTCTCCACACCAAGCTGTGTATAGCATCCTTTTTTATGGGAATCTGTGGGATGTTGAATTATTTCTCCATTCAAGCATGCACTGCCTTCTGTTTTGTCCTTATTTTAGAACTTTCTTTTTTATAATCTTAGCCATTTTAATTGCTGGTTAGACTTTGCCACTTGACTGATTGAGATCTGTTGGTGATATGATATTTACCACAATGACATTCATAGGTAGATTGTGCAAAGTCACTATACATGGCCTGGAGTTCATTGCCTTGGTTTTGGATGTTTGAAATGTTTCCTTAGGCTGCATGATGGCCACCGCGGTGGTGTCTGAGAGATCATCTGGTTCCCAGAAGTCTGAATGGCAGCCTACAATAAGGAGATAGTTTGTGTACTTTGTGGTGAAGACTTCCATTCCTTTTTTGTTTGAAGGTCTGTTGGGAATACTGCATATCTTCAATGCAATCCCATGCTTCTTTGAACCCCTTAAAAAATGGTCTGTGTCAGTTCTGTTTACTTGTGTTTGAGTGTGACCTTGTGTTACGTGAAAGGGAAGGGGG